AACAATTAGGCATGAAGAAAGAAGGAAGGCCCTTATGTAATTAAACAATAGTTGAATTACTTGTACTTTAAATTCACATTTCTTAACTAAAGGCTTGGAACAGTTCAGGCCTGCTCTCCGAAGTAAACTTAATTTTAAGTGTAAATTAAAGGCTTTATGCCATTGTAATTTAGGGCAGTTGGAACTCATTGAAGAGGGCAGGAGGGAGAGGAGGGGGACTAGTGAGGAGATGGGAGAAGAAACAGAGACAGGGGAAGAGACAGAGACAGGCGAGGAGACAGGGACAGGAGAAGAGACTGGGACAGGGACAGAGAGAGACAAAGGAAAAAAAATTAAAGTATCAAAAGAGCGTTATTGAAATGAGTAATCACTAGAATTTTTCCTTTGCTTAGAAAAAGCGAAGGCAACACAGAGGAGGGTGGGGTAAAGGTGGAAAGCGTGGAAGAGGAGGGAGGGGAGGAGGCCAAGGAGGTAGAGGGGGAGGCCAAGGAGGAACAGGAGGAGCCCCTCATCCAATAATCTTTTATAGGATTCATCAGCAAGTGCTAAAACTATAAATTACTGTAATGTTAAGTGTAGAAAGCTTAATTATAGTTTTAAATAAAATCTAAATAAAAATATTACCTGTAAACTCAAGCAGAAGCGATGTCTGGATGTAAATGACCCAGATGATGTTATTACAGTTCACAAAAAGGACTTTATTTGCACTAGAACACATAGCAATAACTCTACAACTTTTGTAATGAAATAACTTACTTGTATTTAAAGTCTCAATGCATGGCTGGGCTTTAGATCACTCTTAAGATGTCCAAAAGGCAAGAAAAGTAAGTTAAAATGCTGTCAAGTGCTTCTTTCTTCTTTACCCGTTTATTAATTGATGTGGGTGTGGTTTACGTGGTGGGCGTAGTCACATTTATTACGTGAACGGGCGTGACACAGTGTTGGAGGGTGGTTGGACCCCCCTTCTTTTTGGACCGGGAGTCCAGGAGCTCGCGAGTAGTTGGACCCCCGGTCCGTATACACCCTTAGCGCTTGGACACTCTGTTTGGACTCCCTTGGACCCCTCGCCCAGTCGCCCTTCATGTTTGGACCCCCTTCATGCCGTTTGACACTGGCAAGACACTTGCTGATACCTCACTGCGGTAGCCATGATCATAACAGTGCCCTCTTGTCACCATAGATGCTTCTTAATTGAGCAAGATGAAATTGCTGCAGCTAAACAGCCCTGCTATGCAGTATTGATAGATTTTATTTTGTTATTAATAAATTTTATTTAGGTAATTGTTGTGTAACAGTGCATTTTACAGCCTCAATGTTATCAAAGTTCAATTTCTTTATCAACAAAGCAGCAAGGATCTATTAAAAATATAAAACTAGATTATATAAATATAAGACTTACTTCTGGCCAAATAATAGTTTTAGAAAATCGACTAATTATTATGACAGGTTTACATAATACATCACTTTCAATTCCATTGATGTAGGTCAACAGTTCATCTATCTAGAAACAATGTATATAATAGCAATTTTGGTTATTTATGATTAAGCCATCATACCATGTCATTTTCAATCCATCCACAATAATCTATGAGGTAAATAAGTGACTTTTCCTCATACTTAGAAAACTCACTGATTCTATTTCGAGCATCAAGCTCTCTTAACTTTGGCTATAAAATTATGTAAAAAGTAACAGTCTATTCATGCATGCTTGTTGTAACCTCAATTGACTTTATAGTTAAGCGAATAAAGTTTCTACTGAACAAACAATTTCTAAAAATTATACAGTTATAAATTAAATACTGTATAGAATAACATACTCATCAGATTTAGTACGATCTATTATTGGATAGTGATCAAGAAAGTACTGTTTTCCCCAATGTGAGCTTATTCCATAAAGTATTTCCTCCGTATCTTTAAC